AATTATAATATTGAACAATAAAATTAATTATTACATTTATATTAAAAAATTAAAAGTTTAGAATAAAAGTTTATTTTCACTGTCATTAGTAGAAAATTTTAAGTCTCATGCTGCCACCTATTGGCACAAAGATTAATTTTTAAAAAAACTGTAGCGGAACTTTATCCGTACATTCAATAGCATTTCATTCTTTTTTCATAGCAATTTTAGTTTAAATTTTTTTTTGGCGTCGGTTTTGACAAGGATTTTAAAAAATATATTAAAAAGGATTATTACGAAACAAGTATATTCTGGTATAGTGAATAATTTATTAATAATTTTCATAGGTTGCTTTGAAGATTCTTTCCAATGTCGAAACGGATATTGTATTTCATGGTACTATGTTTGTGATGCACGTCAAAATTGTCCTGATGGTAGCGATGAAGATGAATGTGAACCATTTAGTAAGTTTTTGAATTTTATTTTTAACTTTACTGGAAAATTGTGTCAAAATTTTTCAACTCTATAACTTTAATAAAAAACTTTGTTTCTCTTACTTCTTTCACATTGTTCAAGTGGTCATATAACTTAAAATTTTTGCTTTTAATGATGGTTTTATGGCTGTTGTATTGCTGCATTGGTAATTTTCTTAATGTGAATTATTCCACAGTTCTCTTGTATGTCAAAATAGTTGACGAAACGTTGTGTTCTCGTGAAAAGGTACATTTTGCAATCAGTGAGCTATAAATTTCTGAAAATACATGACACCATGTTTGTTATTTGCCAAAAAAGTTCAGTGTTGACTTTTTTTTAGAGTAGCACTCTTGTAACTCAATAATATCTCGAAGCAAGATTTTAAAAAAGTATAAAGTGATAGGCAAAAATATTATATTAGTGCTGCAAAACATCTTATTATTCAGATTTGTCATTCCAACAAATATTAATTCATCTCTTAATGATTTGATTTAAAAATAATTTGAATAAAGAATTCTATTATCTCAGATTTGTTAAATATTATGAGTATAAGGATCCTATAATAATTTACTTCTGACAAAAATGTTTAGCTTCATAACTCATTGTATTTACAAATCAGAATTATTTTTTTCAATCATTTCATTCAAGAAACATAGTACCAAGTAACAAATTTTAATAAAATTTATTATGGGCCATACATTTATTTACATTTGTAATATGAATTTATTAAAGTTTTCTTAGTTTCCTTAATTCTTTACATTTCCTTTAAATTAGGTATGATCAATAAGTTTAATCTTGTTAATGTTTTGTTGTTAAACAAATAACTTTTATTTAAATCTAAAAAATACCTAGATGAACTTTTTAAATTATATTTAAACTAATTATGATTTTGAATTAATTTTTTTTTACATTAAAGTAATTATTAATTTAAAAAATTGATTGAGATAGAATAGAATTGTATATAAATTGTTTATATGGTGACTAATATAATCAAGAAAAGAGTTCTTTACCAGAAACTAGATTATGAAAAGTCTTTGAAAATTATTTTGCATTTTATTTATATATGTATATATAAAGAACTTTAAAAATGGGCGAAGAAGATTTTTATAAGTATGCATAACCTAATTATGATATTTTTTTAAAGTGCTTAAAAATGTTTTTTGAATGCTTAAAAAGTGCTTATTTTTTGTTGAAACATTTAGCTACCCACCCTGGTTAATTTAAATTTTTTTATTAATAAATATGTTACAAAGTCAATATTTTGTTGAAATAGTTTATTTGTTTGAAAATGATGCAACTATGCAAATTTTTACGTTTGAAGTTTTAGCAAAATAAAATTTGCATTTGACCATAAAAATCAATTAAATATGTTTTACATAGTGTAGAGCATCTCTCTGACTTTTTTTTGACTTACTGAGACCTGAGTTTTAAAGAAATGATGGAAAAAGCCATTTTTCTTGGAAATATGTTGCTCAGAAGAAAGTGAACTCAGAAATGTGATAAAATACTATTTTTAAAAATCAATTGTTTAAACTTAAGTGTTTATTATTTTTAATCATTACATAAAAATGATAAATTTTAGTTTTCAGCATCTTTTGCATATTGTAGGATATTTTGATAGTGTCTTTCTTCACATTTTGGTCATGTAACAAAATCTACTATGCACTAATAATAAGGTTTTTGTGTTGGAAAATTGTCCAAAAGGTTACTCAAATCAAACTTCTTACCTTACTTATAATTTTTTACAGTCATAGAACACTACAATCAACTAAGATAAATTCTTTTATATTTTTATATAGACAATCACATTGTAAAGGTTTATAGACAATGAAAGAAAAGAAAACTTTTTTTTGAGCAATAAAATTGTACCAAAGGTTGTTCAATATATTAAATGCTGGGTTTTTCAGAGGTTAAATAGAAATAAAACCAGGCTTTGATGTTTTCAAACTTGACTTTTCTATTAATTATTTGTCAGATTTTCTGAACTTTTTTTTTATTTTTCTACCTTTAAATATTTTGTATCTTGTTTTATTTCACTTCGGAAAAGGTTTTGAAAAGTAGATTATTAAGGTGGTTATTATGTAAGAACCTGTATAGTTAAATAATTTTATTTAATACTTTTTAGGTGCCTTTGAGGCTGATTAAATATGGTTTCTCTTTATTTTCAATATATAATTTTTTTCCTACCATTTATAGGAATTTTTTTTTTATAAATAATTTTCAAATTTTTAAGATTCTGAAACTCCAAGAAATGCTTTTGGTAGCATCTTCCCATAGAGGGATTCATTGTAACTTTAACTTCATCTGCTTTTTTTTCAGCCTCACATACTGTGAAAATATGTTAATGCATTAGAAATGTTTAGGCATCAGAAACATTTAGGAAATAGAAATGTTTAAGCAAGCATTTCAATTACAAAATAGAGATTCATTAAACATTTAATGAAAGGAATAATAAAGCAGAGATTCAGCAAACATAATAAAATAGAAATTTAACAAACATTTAATAAAGAGAATAATAAATTAGAGATTCCAAATATTTAATAAAGATTATAATAAAATAGAGATTCAACAAACAAAGAATAACAAAATAGATTCAGTAAACATATAATAAAAAGAATAACAAAATAGAGATTCAGAAAGCATTTAATAGAAAGAACAACAAAGAAGAAATTCGAAGATATTTAAAATAACTTTTGATTATCTTTCAGAGTGTCCTAAACAAGCTTTTCAATGTGATGATGGTACTTGTCTTGCAAAATCAAGTGTTTGTAATGGCAGATGGGAATGTCCTGATGGTAGTGATGAAGCAAGATGTTATACTGGTAATTTGTTTGATAAGTAATTCCAAAGTCATTCTAAAAACATGGAACATAGCTATATATGTATGTTTGTACTTTTCAGGAATTAAATGTGATAAAGACTCTTTCCAATGCAAAAATGGACAATGCCTTCCACAATATGAGTTTTGTAATGCAGTTCAAAGTTGTGCAGATGGAAGTGATGAAATAGTTGATGTTTGTGAGAAAGGTATTATTATTTTTACTTTATGAGGAAGGAAAAAATTTTTCTGGTTAGTGTAATCTTTTCCCTTAGCATAAATTTTTGAACCTTTATGAAAAATGAAGTGAAAAAGGAATCTTTATGAAAAATGAAGCAAAAAAGGAATCTTCATCAAAAATGAAGTGATTTACCAGTAAATATTTAATCTCTTCAGGGATGTTTTATCATAGTGAAGGAAAATGACTAATATATTTTATTCGTTTTATCTTAACAATAATTCAAAAACGATAATAATAAATTAAAAGCAATAAAAATTTACAAATGAAAATAACATCTCAATTTATGGTAGCTAAGAGTTATTGGTAATTTATGAGTGAAATGATTTCATACATTCGGGCATACTGAATCTTCACATTGTTTTCAACCGTAATGAAATTACTTTTCGTTATAAATGTGTAATTTTTGCTTAGAAATAATTTGGATCTTGGTTAAATTTTGTTTTTCCATTTACATTACAACCTGGGAATATAAAATTTTAAAAATGTATACTTTCCATTATGCACTTACACGAATTGTTAAATTATCCTGTATTTAAAATTCCATTTCTCAGATACTATTCTTCGAATGATTTTTTTTTTTTTTTTCAAATTTTGTATTTTGTTACATGAAATTCCTTTTTTTAAATATAAAAATTTTTATACCTTACAATTCAATTTTTTTCGATTGATTATTATTAAATGAAAATAATAATAAATAGAAAATAACTATTTCAAATAATTTTTTGAAAGGATTATGTTTGGATAAACAAATTTTATAAATAGTGCAAAATTTTTTATCTTCGCTTCTATAGAAATTACAAAATACGCAAAATTAACATTAAGGGATTAAAACTTTCGACCAGTTTCCTGACTAAACTGTTGGGACTATATTTCCAAGATTCTACTGCCCCTTACATTTTGAGGATAAGGAATTAAAATCTGTCGAAAAAAGATATGTTCATTGAGAGAGAAATCAAGTTTTTATGTTTGATTGCTTAATTTAAAATATCATCTGCCCTAACTAATTAGCATATTTAAGGTCACCCATTCGAACCATTAATCTTGAGCCCTAATTGGTGAAAATCTGATAGTTAGATCAAAACACGTGCGAACACAAATACAAACATACATTGTACACAAAGCAAAACTTTACTGAGGAAGACAGGTTTAAATCACCTTGCAACTCCTCTCTGTTTTCTCTGGTAATCAAATAGGCTTGAATAATTGTAGTCCTGTCTTCATCAGGAATGATTTAATTATATTTCAGTAAATTTTTTTTCTTTGCTCAAAATATTAATCTTAAACCATTAATGTGCTCTAGTGATTTTATTTTCTAAGAGTACTCTTAAAATATGTATTGAGAATGGTCTCTTAAAATACCCTTTTTATTATTTTTGTGTGATTTTTATTATTTTCCCCCACCTTGAAATTATTTTTGAAATGCATTGTTGCCACTAATATTTTGCAACCCTCTCTTCTTAATATTTGGTTATAGGAAGTTTCTTATTGAATATTTGTTTTCAATGATTTTATTTTGCAGGTCTTAAATGCCCAGAAAATCATTTTAAGTGTGATAGCGGCCGATGCAGATCATCAGCTATACTCTGTACAGGACTAGATGGATGTGGTGATAATTCTGATGAAACCCACTGTGAAGTTTGCTGTAAGTTTATGTCTTTATGATCAAATTTTTTAATATTTAACAAGTTGAGCCGTGATGGCTCAGGGGAGAGAGCCTTCGCCTTCCAATTCCTGGTTCGAATCCCAGCTATGGCTCGTCGATAGGAATTCTGCATCCGGCATGCACCAACCATAGTCCTGACATAAAATATCCTCAGCAAAAGACGGATCATGGGTTAGAGTCCCCTTGATGCCAGGCTAACCTTGGGAGGTTTTCATGGTTTCTCTCTCCATGTAACGCAAATGCGGGTTAGTTCCATCAAAAAGTCCTCCACAAAGGCAAATTTCTCTCAATACTTAGTCCAAGAGTTCCCATGTCTACTGAATCAGGTTCAAAATTACAAGGCTACGGAGTTGAACATTATTAGTTATAAACCCAAAAAATTGGGTCGGCTGTTCAATGACGGTTATAAAATATAAAATAAAATATTTAACAAGTTACTCCAACGCTGCAGTATCTAGGTTCATAAAAAAGTTTGATGACTTTTAAAATATTTAGGTTATATGTTATAAAGTTCAGATAATGGCAAGATGATATAAATAGTTTACAATTATCAATTTGTTTAAAGTGTAAGACACTTGAACTGTGGCTTTTTTTTCTTTGGCAAAATAGCTTTAAAAAGCACTCTATAACACAAAACTACTCATAATTCAAAAATGATCCATAACACAAAAAATTCTCCATAACATAAAAATATCGAGAAAAATCCAAAGAAAAATAAGTAATAATATTTATTATATTGCATTTTAGTGATATATTGTAGTTTTTTAGTAGCTAACTAAATAGATTTAGGAAGTTTTCTTTAGAAACTGTAAACTTGTACAATACCATGCAGAAAATATATTAACCCTAGGTAAAATTAAAATAAAAAATTTTAATAATTGTCCAGATCATTTTTATCTACGCACACGAAAAACTTAAGCCAAGTAATGGTAAACCACATTTCAAATTGTGTAGAAGAGCAGTTTTGGTAAAAATTAGCTCTTGCATGGGATTTATAGGTAATAAAATGTTTCTGTGTAATGTGTTGCTATGTAATGGAAATTCAGGGGGGGGGAATACCTACCTGGAAACATTACTAAGTATTAGTTCGATGTAAAAATACCTAGAAAAAGCATGGCTTATCACTATATTGCACCAAGTTCTTTATATAAAATATAGCAGTGGGTTCCCACCCCTCTCTCTCACTCACAAACGCACACTCGAATTTTTTAAGTGTTGTTTTTATTTAATTCGACTAATTAGTTTTCCTTGTAATCTATAATTTTTTTTTCCTTATAGTTAAGTAAGAAATATATTGCATTTTTCAATAATTAATTTTGTTTTATTTTAGTTAATATGATATTTTAATAAATCATGAATTTGATTTTATTCAGTTCATTTACAATTTGGTTTTATTTAGTTTATTATTTAGCTTAACTTCAATTAAACGAATAACATCAATTAACTTATTTGTTAGTTTCTTTTATTTTTCTATCTATTTAGCCATCTTATTTATGACTAACTTCTTTAAAAAAAGAAAATTTTGATATATTTTGTTTTTATAATTTTTTTTTTCTTCTGTTCTGAAAAACTTTCATCAAATGATTAGATAAGATTTAATTTCAATTAAAAACGGATTATTTGTATAATATTTTTATTAATATTAGGTTTTAATTGTTTATTACGTTTTTGTTTTTAAAAATGTTCTTACTAAATACGATTTAAGTTCAATTATGCTCAGATTATTTATATATTTTTATTATTTTTTTGCAACTACTTTTATTTTCTCTTTCAGTCACGTTTATAGTTCCGACAGTTCATTATTTTTATTCAGTGGCATTATTTAAATGAAGCTAATTTATTTATGCTTTCTTAGAGTTGCATTTTATGTATAATTATTTTACATTTTTATTAAATATAAATTTTGTTGAATTTTTTAAAAAAAAAAACATACATAAATGTTTTGATAGTCATTTGATGTGGTAGTGTTTTAACTTTTAATCGCAATAATAATTTCTTCACTAAGGAGGCTTGCCTCTGACCAAATACAACACAAACTGTTCTTAGTTTTTTGTAGAATTTGATGCAGTTTTATTTGATAACAAAGTTTAAAAAATGTCTACTTACCGTTATCAATGAAAGCTTTATTTCACTATCAGTAAGAAAAACGTTTCTTAAAAGATGTAAATGTTGTCAACTATGCAGTAAACGATTACAAAACTGAAATCAACCAAATTAAAATAGAATACTTCTTTTTTTACTCTTCAACAATTAATGGCAAAAATAATTTTTTCACTTTAGGATGTTGTCTCGAGGTCGGGCACTGTATTAACCATTCTTAGTTTTTTGTAGGATTTGATGCAGTTTTAGATGTTAACAAAATTTAAAAAATATCTGCTTGCCGTTATCTGTGTAAATTTTATTTCAGTATCAGTAAGAGAAGTGTTTCCTAAAAGATGCAAGTGCTTACAACTAAGCATTAAATAAATACAAAACCTAAACTAAACCAAATTAAATTAGGACACTTCAATCATCATAAATGAATATTTAATTCTGTGATAAACTGATGTCTGCTTTTTAAAAAAATTAGTTATAAAAATACTGAAGATTATTTGCTTATTTCAGATTGCAAAAAGCCATAACTCCAACTGCCTTGGATCTCTATTGGAAGATGTTCCTCATTTAATTTATTTTGTGATGTTCATCTGAATTGTGTTAATTTATGTTTTTATCATTCATTGTTTTTGTTGGTATTTTATCACTGAAGGATGTGTGGATTGCTTTTAAAGCATTTTGGAATTTGAGAAGCTTGTAAATAGCCAAATAAAAGTTATTTCATCAAATTGTAATTTCCATGTGTTTATTTTTTTATCCAGAAAAATGAATAAAAATATTGTGGAATGTACAGGCACATCAAAACCACTTCATAATCAGTATGATTTTATAACTTTGAAAACAATGCATGTTTATAAAACAAAGCATAAGAAAAAATCATATTGCGCATACAGGGTGGTTATAATTCAAAATTCAAGTTATCCTATTTAGACCGTGATAATATCCATTTTGGTGGAGACATGTCTATGAAACTTGATATATACATTATTTGGACAATAGGAGAAGAAATCTGCAATAAAAAAATAATTTACATTCTGACAAATAAAAATTCAGGGTGCGTAGTGTTTTTAAAAAGTGCTTATTTTCAATTTCCGTTTTTTGGAAGCCCTTAAAAGTGCTTTTCTTCTTAGGTATTTTTAAAAAGTACTTAATTTTTCCCTTTTTCAAAATGAGATATTTTCTTTACCAAGTCGATTTTCACTGCAATTTATACAAAAAGCGTTGTTTTCACATTGTTATATTTAACGTTTTCACTATTCATTAAACCACAGTCCATTTCGGCGTACCGTCGGTCGACCCCCCTCTAACAATTAAAAATATATCTACTATTAAGTCAAGTGTTAATTCAAAATATAAAATCAAAATTTTTTAAAAGAAAATATTTAGTCAAATTAAGACAAGAAAATTGAAGTAATATAATCAATTGAAAACTTTTCGATTAATATTAAAAAAATAACTTCTGTTTGTGTATATGTACAATGTGCAAAAAAGCAAACACTTTGAATAACTTGTGATCGAAAGTTTGAATTTTTATATATTAAGACTCAAAATACTTTAAATTAGAAAAACAGACACATAGTTTTTCTAAAAAAAGCATACCTTTTTTTTCAATTGATTCGAATTCTTGACTCTCAAAATAAATAGCCCTATCTCGAGAATTTTTCAAACGAACTAAAAAATTTAGCACACAATAATAAAATTTATTTACCTAAAAATAGTTCCTTGTCAAAAATAATTTTTAAGAAGCATTAATTATTTTATATTATTTTATTTAAGAGAATAGACGAAAGAACTTTAAATTGAAAATTTAACAAATGTCATTTTAAATGACAAAATACAAAATTTAATGTGTACTAAATCAGTCAAATACAATTAAATTATTCAATTTCAAAAAAGTTATATATTTAACATTTAATTTCTCAAGAACTATTCGACAGATTTCGTTCAAATTTTGTATTTTACCATTTAAATTAATATTCTTTAAAATTATATAAAAATTTGTATATTTTTAAATTTAAAATTGTTCCGACTATTAATAATAAATAATTTTTAAAAAAAACTATTTTTGACAGGGAATTATTTTTAGGTAAATGAATTTTATTATTAGGTGCAAAAATTTTTCAATTAGGTGCAAAAAATTATATAATTTTTAATACATAATTTTATTTTTACATTTAAGTTCAATTAATTTTTTATTATTAAAATATAATAATGCTTTGGAAAAATTAAACTCTTCACTTATATTAATTTAGACATAATCAATATTGATGAATGAATAATAATTATTGATAAAATTATTTGAAGGGTTTAGCTACTATTTGAAGCAATAAGCTTTACACTATTACAGCATGCTTTCAAAAGCAATAATTTAGAATAATGTTTTAGTACAATAAACTTTTTCTGTGCATTCACAAACGATTTTACCTTTTTTTTTTCTTTTCCTTTCATGAAATTTAATTTTCTTCTCATATTTCTGTAAAAATGTCATAATAATTCTTAGAGTCACAAAGAATAGTTTCATCTGTTCCTTATAATTCTTATTTACAAGAAATGACTTTGTTAAAATAAAGAAAAATTATCTATACTATAATTTCAATACCCTATTGAAATATTAACTATTTTAAATATTAAAATTATGAAATTTAATTATGAATTGCAAATAAACTTTTAAGTTTTTAAGAAAAGATTGCTATTTATTTCACATATGATACATTAAATGATACATTATATCTCAAAATAACCAACTTTGAAATACCATCTACTAGATCTTAGTACATATTTTAACACAAAAAAGAGGAGAAAGAACTTTTGAATTTCAAATTTCGGTACAGGCAAAGATGATAAAAGAAAAATTTTGAAAATAAATATTTTGTAAGTGGAGGGACATTAAAGTTAACCATTTTATCAAGGCTATTTATCAAACACCTGACTTTAGCTTTTCTTAAAAACAAATTAGTGATTTCGTTTGAACAAAATTAAACTTATATTTCATTAATCTGCCTTTAAAAACCTGTTCAAATTTTAATAATTAAAATTATTTGCCCAATGAAATGGAAGATTCCTCAAGTATTGTTTATAAAAACATTTTCATTTTCAATAAACATTGGGGAAAAGGAAGATGAACCAATTTAAATAGAATAAATGGTTACTTACGTCAAATCTAAAATTTCTGCACGAGTCTTGTTCCTCTTGATATGACCGTTGCCCGAAACTTTTCTTTTAAAATAGTCACAAAAATCAAATAGTAGAATATTCGATAAAGTTAAATAAAAAGTAATCTAAACACGAACCGAGTTGAACCAAAATACTGTAAGCTAAGGTGTAAAGTGTTTACCAAAATGTTTAATTTGTGTGTATATATGGGGGTGTGTAAATACGGGAAATTAGTTACTGATTGTAGCATAAATAATATTATTGATTTAAAATTATGTCAATGAAGAAACTTTTCTTTTCTAGACCTCCCACTTTCTTCAATCTTAAGTCACAATTTATTTGTATCTTTACCCCCCCCCCCTCTCACAAGGACGACAATTTGAATTTTCTGAGATATGGACCCTTTTCTCTAAGAAAAAAAGGAAGGGGGAATGAGTCACCTATAGGATGCTTAAAGATATCTGNTCCACGCCTATTCCTCCCATTCTCCCACCCATAGCTCCTTCAATTTGACTTGTCTCTCAGCGTAGAAAGGGCCTTAAAGTGGTTCTTCTCAGAAAATTTAACTTTGTATTCTAACACACATGTTGGTGACAATCACGGTGGTCCTTTTGAAGAGCCTTTGAATGCATATAATCAAATGCTGGCAATATACATCTTTTGTTATACGGCGGGATTGTTAGTTACACGCAGAAAGCAAGATCAGGTTAAATTGGACCACGCTTCCCAGCAGTCTGGTGCTTATAATAAAATAACAGGAACAACAATATTTTTCCCACTCGTTTATACAGAATGACCAATTTTTATTTTAAGAAAATATTAAATGGATAATGGAAATGCATGAATTAATTATTAATTTATTTCAATTTGATATACACACGAGCTGCAAGTAAAAATTAAGCACAACTATTAAATTTATTTTTAGTGACAGAAATAATATTATTATTTTCAAACGCGAAGTCGAGCACTCTCCGGTAGCACAGTTTAACGAGGACCAATACCGCACACCCTCGGTCCCTACGCAGACTGATCCAATTGGTCACCCACCCGCACACTGACCGCAGCCAGTGATGCTTGACTTCGGTGATCTGCTGGGAACCGTGCCTTATCAATCAGTCCACTGCGGGACTAAACATATTTTTAAATTCAATTAATAAAAATATCTTTCCTAAATTTGCTATTTATTTTTAATTTGAAATTTTCGGTACTTTTCTTATTTCCCAATTATAATTATACAAATTTCGTTATAAGATGTACAAAATATAGTCTACTTGCACTAAACCCAATTCAATAATGATTGAAAATTTGATTTTATTGCTACTTATTTCTTACATTTGCTTCTAAAATTAAATCAGTTTTAATGAGTACTCTTTTTAACGAATTTTTCACAGTCCAGGAACATCCGGTTCACATTGTGAATTTACGCATCTTTTGTGCGCAACTTTTATAACATTTGTATTTATACAAGACTAAGGACTAAGGAACCTGTAATTCTTTCCTTATTAAAAGACTAACTGCTTGCATTCATATTACATAGTATATATTTTAAATCTTAAAATCTAATTTCAATATTCAATATATATAGATAAAAAAAATCATAAGTGATGCGAAGTGTGTGGTCATATTTTCGCAAATTTAACCTCTCTTCCACAAGGAAATTTCGAAAAAGGATACTTACACAGCTCCTTTTTCTTAATTTAGTGAATAAAAAAAATATTTGACGCAAAATTTTGAAATAAATTTTTGCAACACAACCTTTACGTAATTTGATAACTTCTTTTTCCAGTTACAATGAAAATATAATTAAAAATATAGTATAAGCAAATATTTTTCAAAAATGTGCAGCACATAAAACAAAAACATGCATAACACAGTTTTTTTTTCACATCGAAAATCACATTTTTTACATCATCAAATCATTGCATCAACATTTTGTATATCAAATATTTTTACATAAAAAAATCAAATTGCGGAAGTATTAACTTTGCTACAGCTTGAAAAATATTCTGTAAACATGAATCGTAGCAGTATTTTATAGAATCATTGTAATGGATAAATAAATAGAGCTTTTATCGCATAGAAATTCACTACCTAATTTCATTATAAGACCAAAAATTTTTGATATATAACATCTTTCGTTTTTTTTTCTTTTATTATGTAAAATTTCGTACTTAAATGCTTGATATTATTAAAATGGAAGCTCAAAATAATAAATTTATAAGTAATAAATTTATAATAATGATAAATAATAATAAATTTATAAGTAATAAATTTATAATAATAATAAATAATAATAAATTTATAAGTTTCGAAGAATTTTGTAATAATAATAAATTTATAAGTTTCGAAGAAAAAAATTATGTACTGCGAACATTTAGTTAGACTTTGTGGTGCCCCCCTATCCTCTGGTGCCCTAAGCACGTGCTTAGTGTGCTTAATGGTTAATCCGGCCTTTTGATGAAATGCTTGTGGGTCCACATGTGCGTATATACTGAGCTGGATTCAGTAGGAAGAAATCTTGCACTCTCAAGTGCTACTCTGCTGCATTTTGCTAAATATTCTTAATTTCGGCCTTCATTTTCCGCCCTCCGAAATCGAACCGAAAAATCTCTTGAATTTTCTCTACTCATGGGGATCAACTAAACGTTGCTAAATTTTAATAGCAAAGAAAAATTTTATTTCTCTTGTTAATTTCATCGTTGGTGAAGCGTCTTCGTCAATCGCAAGCTCATTGCCTTCTTGAACTATTCTATTTATAGATCAGTTCCATAAATTTTTAATTTAACTTAAAGACCATTCACTAAGTAAATATTTTCATGTAAGGTCCTTAGAGCTGTCAAGAATCACAAAGTTTCATCACCGCAAAATTTTCATCGCCCTTTTGTTCATTTAATTTAATAAAGATAAGAATTATTGAGATTTTAAACACAAATTATTTTACCTGAGAAACTCTCCACTAATTGCATAATTTTTTAAAACTCCCTCTGCAGTGCCCCATCCCCTCTGCAGTGAATCAAAATTGTGATGGCTTGTCTTCGGATCATCCTCAGGGATTTTTCCCAGACCGTCGCTAATAGCCCATTGTGCAGCTCTAGTGCGGTATAAATTAACTACAACAACAACCCAGCGTTAAACACATCCTATCTGTAACGTTCAAAGCGCTTTCACCAACAAATTGTTAGGTGAAAGCAAGGACTAATATGATAATAATAATATATCTGTGCCCATAGGGCCCCGTAGTGGACTGATCGTAAAGACAAGGTTCCCAGCAGATCACCGAAGTCAAGCATCACTGGCTGCGGTCAGTGTGCGGGTAGGTGACCACTTGGATCAGTCTGCGTAGAGACCGAGGGTGTGCGGTATAGTTCCTCGTTAAACTGCTCTACCGTAAAGTGCTCGACTTCGCGTGCAGGTCGTCGGGCTACCGAAGCGGGGGTGCCATCCCCTCTGCAGAAGATTAAAATTGTGATGGCATGTCTTCGGATCATCCTCAGGCAGTGGCGTACGCAGAATTTTTTCAAGGGGGGTGTTCATAATTTTCTGAAACTACTAAAAGAAATTCGAGTCTATAATAAAGCACTATTATTTCCCTAATTTAGACAGCTAGACAATTTTGACTTTTTATTTAGACAACATTG